AATTAGAATTAGGGCAAATGGCCCAGTGTAAAGTTGAGCTTGTTTGTTGACAATTATGGCATAGATTAGAATAGAGGAAATTTCTTTTGTGAAGAATATGAGGTGCTGGAAGTTCATCTGTTAAGAGTTTAATTCGAAAGGTTTTGAGAGTAGATGAAAATCAAGATGAAAATGAAGTAGAACAACTAGTTCTATAGACATGGATTAAAAATCATACACAAATATATAAATATTTTTTAGATATAAGGAAATGTTCAGACCCAGAGTGTTGTTCATAAAAAAGAGCTTCTGAAGTTGCTTCTTTTCTTGAACCAACAAATAGTTTTCTTCCACCAGTAATTCAAGAAAAAGACAATCATTTTTTAAATTTGATATATACAGTACAGTATCTAGACCCAACAAAGTTAATGAAGTATGATGAGCATTGCCTATCAATTAGTACTGAACAATATATATGGCTCACATATAATATATACAAAAAATACTTTCCTATTCGCATTTTTCTTATGAAGTACAAGCACTTTGCCTACCTAGATTGTTTTGATAAAAGGTATAGATTTTTTAAAACAATGGCTTCATCATCAGCAATACTAATGGTTATCAATTACTGGGTCTAAGAAATGCTCAAGGTGCAAATATATCTATATCACAAGGTTACCCTAATAATGTTCTTTAGACAGTGACTAATACACAACAGGTAAATACTTTTATTAGTCTTCTGTAATATCAACTTTTATTTAACTAATAGTTTGGCCTAATATTTTGAACAGAAAACTATATTATATATACCACTTCCAAATGATACTATTGTTCAGAAGGATCAAATTTCGTCAGGTGAAACAGAAGCAGTAGCTGTTTTGATTTAGACTTCATATAAGTAATAATTCTTATAGTAAATCTTTTAGTTGCTGTTCTTTTTTCTTTTTTTGTTTGAATTTATTCTAGATATATTCAAATAACTGAATATATTAATTTTATATATAAATATAAATATAAAGTTAGAATTTGCATAATATTCAAATTTAAATAAAATTAAAACTTATCTTTTGCGTTTGTTTTGTCAAAGAAATGCATTAAATATGATATTGAATAAGCCTCACTCTTGTGACCAAACTTCAATAACGTGTGCTTTAAAAACAACGAAAAAATGCATTTATGAAAGGTGCATATATTTAAATATGCATAATTCCGAATCATGTATAGATTGCTACGGGTACAATATTTCATGTGCTTATAGGACAACAATAACCAGTATTACTAAAATACACCTAACTTTAACCCTAACTCAGGCCATGTTATGTCTATAAGCACGTGAAGTATTAAATACAAAAAACATGATCTAATTTTTTTAAATTATACGCATATTAAAAAGAAAATTCAATTGGATAAAATGCACATGATTTCAAATTATGTATTTTTCGGATTATACGTATTAATATATATTATAGCTTCTATTTTTAAAGCTTTGTGCTATGTAAGATACCTATATCCCCTACTTCTCTATGATATTATGTAATATTTGCGACTCCTCTTACCAAAAAGAATATCAGCAGTGTGCTTGGATCTACTTGTTTTATTATTTTTGAAAAATATATATTTTCTTTTAAAAAAAGTACAAGGTTTATACTCTTTACTATTACCTACTTGTACTTACAACAAAATTTTTAAAAAAAGTAAACATAACAGCTTACTCCTGCCAAAGGATCAGTATTGTTTACTTTTTTCAAATTTGGTTAATCTAGTAGATTGCAACTATATATTTTGTTTAATATCAAATATATTGCTATATTATACAACAGGTCTATTATCTAGTTTATAGTTAAAGATTTATCTAAAATTGATTATATAGTCAAAAAGAAACTAATATATTAAGACAAAGTCTTATAGTAGAAATATATAGATATTGCATTTGTTATATAATTTTTAAAGCTTTGTACAAGTTACAATAGTATTATTAGATTTTTTTTTTCTTTTGTTGTTTTTTCTTTTTCAAAATTTGTGCTTTATTTTTTTTTTGGTTTGTTTATTTTTTTTTTGTTCATTTTTATTAAAAAATTTTTTTTATTTTCTCTTTTGTCTTATAATCTTTGAGAAAAAAGAAAAATTAAAAAAAAATTAGTTCTGATATTTTAGTTCTTTAAAAGCTAATATTAGATACAAAAATATAAAAATCTCTTTTAGACAAAGTTTATAAAAAGAATTTTTTTTAGCTTATCTATATACTTTTGTAATAGGTTATATCTAAATACTGAAATATGCAATCAGGTAAAGTCAGACTCTAGATTAGTCTTAAAAGTAAATATATATAAATTGTATATACTAATAACTAAGAGATCAAGCCACAGCAAGACTTATTAAAAAAAAAATAATTATATTAAAAATTCTTTATTAAAAAATACTATATATAATAAATTTTTTTTTTATTTTTTTTATTTTTTGATAATCTTGCCAAGACTTGTATATAGTTTACAAATTAATCTCGAAAGACAATTGTGGTTGTAAAACAACATAGCTGCAACTAAAAACCCGATCTCACCTGGTTACCTATTGGTATCTAGCTGTAACCATCATACTGATTCATGGATAATTTAGATTATATACTAGCTCTTAAAAAATTAAAATATTAAGACTAATTTCCCTTCTAATTCTTCCTTCTTCTCAAGGGCACAAGACAAAGAGGAAAAGAAATAAAAAGTTTTTTAATAAACACAACAAAAAAAAAAGAAAAAAACAAATAAAAGAAAAAAAAAAAAACAGATTTTGAAAAAGAAAAAACAAAGAAAAAAAAGATCTAATAGTACTATTATAATCTGTACAAGACTTAAAATTATATAACAAATACAATATCTATATATCTCTGCTATAAGACTTTGCTTTAACATATTAGTTTCTTTCTGACTATATGAGGTGGAGTCAATAGAAATGAGACAAATTTATTAGATAAATTTGTCCCATTTCTATTGACTTCACCCCATATGACTAATTCTGGGTATACTTTTAACCATAGACTAGTCGATAAACTTTGTTACATAGCGTAGCAACATGTTTGTTACCAAATAAAACACATGGTTGCAATTTACTAGATTGACTAAATTTGGAAGTAAACAATGCCAATCTTTTGATGGGAATAAGCTGTTTTGCCCACTTTTTTTAAAAATTTTGTTGTAAGTACAAGTGGGTGATAGTAAAGAGTATAGACCTTGTACTTTTCTTAAAAGAGAGTATATTTTT